TGTAACTCACTATTATTTGTCTATTTGTTTTCCTGAGAAACTATTTTGTAGACAATAATATGTAAAATGATAACCATTGATAATTTCCTACCATTTTGCCTGTAATTTGCTAAGTCCCCCCTATTATTATGTTATCCTTCTTTTATTCTTTAAAATAAAAAAAAAAATAAACTAACTTCTGCTTAAAAAAAAAAAAAAAGACTACAGTGGACTACTCCAGTTCAAGTTCCTTTTTCAGTGGCAGTGTATGAGAAGCAGACGTAATGCAAGATATACAAATATACAAGAATTTACAAGATTGGCCTACAACAGCCGCCCAGAGTCAAGTTCGGAAGAGTGCAGAAGGTCCGGCTGCACGCTGGAGACCCAAAGGATCCAGCCGAAGGCCTGGAGCGCACTGTCGTGTCTGTGTCAGTCCCCGTCAGGAGGCTGAAGGGTGTACGGTGCAAGGCTGAAGGGTCTGTGCTGAAAGCTGAGGACTGTCCAAGGTGAAGGAAAGACCGCAGCTCCTGCAAAGAGACAGAAGCGATCCTTGTTGCCGACAGCCACCCTAAAGTGGGAATTCTGCCTTCAGTAAATTCCTCAGCCCTACCCAGAATTACGCTGATCCAACTTAGTTGGGCATTTCTGACTCGAGTTGACACAGTCAGTGAGCTATCACGGGCAGATCCCCAATGACGCAAAGTCCTCAGGCCGATTTTCCGAAGACCCTGGTTGGTTTGCAGCTAGGCTTCACATCTGGGCCTCGCTTTTGACTCACTGTGGTGAGATGTCTAATTTGTCTTCACCATTGCTGTGCCCTAGACACCCCACGGGCCAGCGGCTAGACGTGGCCTTTTCTGTGTTCAACACCTGGGATCTAGACAAGGACGAAAGGAGAAGGGCAGAGAGAGACAGACAGGCCAAACTTATGGCTGTCGCAATTGGCAATGCTTTATGCACACCCAAATTTTCCGAAAGAAAACCCACAGACATGTGATTGTACCAAGCCACCGCCTGTGCGCTGTTCCATGTGTCAGGTGACTGATGTGTCTGACTCATAGCACTAGAGGACTGAATGTCCCCACTGCCAGAGAGGGCCTCGGCCAGTCCAAACCCTCACCACCCTCACCTCCTGCTCTGAAGAAGAGGACTAGCCTGGTGTGGTGGTACATGCCTGTAGTCCCAGCACTTCGGAGGCTGAGGCAGGAGGATCGTTGTGAGTTCAAGACCAGCCTGGGTTACAAAGTGAGCTCAAGGTCAGCCTGAACTGCATAGCGGGGCCCTGTCTCCAAAAAAAGACAAAAAAAAAAAACCAAAACAGTCACATTCTGAGGTACTGTAGGTTAGGAATTCAACTTGGGAATAGGGGTGCGTGGGACAGGCTTGAGTCCATAACAATCTAATTATTGTGCGGATATTAGCTAATGTGTTTAGAGCATTAATACAAAGCTTTATATAATACACACAGAGAGACATGCTGTCTGCTGTTATTATGAGACCTACCTATAGAAAAGAAAGATATTGTCATCTAAATCCAAAGACAATAGAGACAGGAAGAAGCTTCCAGTGATGGCTTCCCCCACCCATCTGAGCAGCACTACTCTTGTTCTTCCAGACCTTATTTTATTTTATTTCTTTGTCTTTTTGAGACAGGGTCTCACAGTTCAGGCTGGCCTTGAGCTCACTTTGTAGCCCAGGCTGTTCTCCAACTAGAAAAGACTCTCCTGCCTCAGCCTCCCCAGTGCTGGGATTACAGGTGTGAGCCACCACCCCTGGCCTTTTTTTTTTTGTCTTTTCCAGACCTTATTTTAAACATATGCTATGACAGTATGGAATACAACAGCTGTGGAGGTCTTTCAGTGGGATAAGAAACAAAAGTGACTGTTACAGTCTTCTTTCTTGGCTACACTGTAAACTCTCCAAGGACTGTTAAACTTTTGTGTCTCTCACTGAGAACACCATGGTGATGAAACAGTGAGGTCTCAGTAGAAAACAACTTATCAAACTGCATATTCTTGTGATAGTTTACTTAGTTCTAGTGAGTCCTGTCCCATCATTAGTGCATAGTCCTTCGAGGAAAGAACGCCATCTAGTGACTTCTGCCATTAAAAACTTTTTTTTTGTCATTAAAAATTTGGAAAGTGTCAGTTTCAAAAACTCCATGACACTTCCATGTCTTATCCATTTGATTTTTGTTTTGTTTTGATTTTTGTCTTTTTTGAGACAAGGTTTTTCTATGCAGTTCAAACTGGCCTTGAGCTCACTTTGTAGTGCAGGCTGGTCTCCAACTTGCAAAGACCCTCCTGCCTCAGCCTCCCCATTGCTGGGATTACAGGTGTGCGCCACCATGCCCGATTTTCCCTTTGATTTTTATATATGCAAAAACAATTTAAAAATCTTCTTATAGAGTGACAGCTTTATATATCTGTGATATTACTAAGCTTTTTTTTTTTGTCTTTTTGAGACAGGGTTTCATTATGCAGTTCAGGCTTTTTTTTTTTTTTAGGGTTTTTTTTTATTTTAAAAAGTAAAAGAAGGATAACAGTAATGGGGGGAGCTTATCGAATTTCAGGCTGGTTTGGAGCTCACTTTGTAGTCCAGGCTGGCCTTGAGCTTGCATCCTCCTGCCTCAACCTCCCAAGTGCTGGGATTACAGGTGTGCACCACCACGCCCGGTGGTTCAACTAAGCTTTTATTCTCCATATTTTCAAGAGATTTCTGGCCTTCACATAATTAACCTTGGTGAATTTGATTACTTATAGAAAGGAAAAGCAATGAAAGTGCTTTTGGAATTTATCATTGACAGTGGAGTAACCATGGAGATGGTCATAAGGAATTCTGGACAAATAAAGCATTTATTTAGTAGGGCATGGTGACACCTATTATACCACCACTTGGGAGGCTGAGGCAGAAGGATTGCTTTGAGTTTGAAGCCAGCCTGGGTGCCATAGTGATGAGTTCAAGACCAGCCTGAACTACTTAGCAGGACTCTGTCTCAAAAAAGAAAAGAAAAGAAAAGAAAAAAGCCAAATGAAGCTGGGTGTGAAGGCACACTCTCTGTAGCATTTGGGAGGCTGAGGCAGGAAGATGAGGATTCTTGTTCAAGACCAGTCTGGGCTATATAGTATCCTGTTGCAGGGCTGAGGATATAGCTCAGTGGCATAGGCGCTTGTCTGGCAAGCCTGAGGTCATGAGTTCAATTCCTGGTACCAAAAAAACCATAATATCCTGTTGCAAAAAACAACAAAAAACCATAATATCCTGTTGCAAAACAAAATAAAGGCTGGGCATGGTGGCGCACACCTGTAATCCCAGCACTTGAGAGGCTGAGGCAGGAGGATCATTGCAAGTTGGAGACCAGTCTAGGCTACAAAGTGAGCTCAAGGCCAGCCTGAACTGCATAGCAAGACCCTGTTTCAAAAAGACAAAAAACCCACCAAAACCTTTTTTTCCTTTTGGACTTCTGAGAGCGCCTCCAGGGCACTGGGATCACAGGCGCACGCCACCACACCCAGCTCTTTCACTTGCTTTCAGCCAGCTTTAAAAAACCACTGATTTCTGAGGCCATGCAGCTAGGCAGTGCATTACCAGTCTTCCACAACCTTGCCTTGGGGCGTGATTGATACGCTGTCCATGTTACTTTCAGAGACTTGAAGGTGCTGTTGTGGAAAGGACTCTCTCTCCATGTGGGCCTGTGCAGGTGTTGGATGAGTGACCTCTCCGATGTCAAGAAACTGAAAACTCCACCCTGAGCTCACGCCAACATCACCGTTTTCTGAAGGCGCACGCTTTGAAGAGCCATAAGGATTACACATGCAGAGACTGCTGATTACCACACTGCCAATCAACTTTACTCATGCCTTAAATCACCCCGCTTCCGGCCGCTATGTTCTCTCTTGCCTGGACGGCCCGCCCTTACTCTGTAAGGATTGCTTCTTTCCCTACTTGGCCCCAACTCACTCTGCAGAGCCCGTTTCTTTTCCTACCTTTAATAAAACTTTGCTGTTAAGAAAAAAAAAAGAATCAGCTGGGTGTGGTGGCACACACCTGTAATCCCAGCACTCAGGAGGCTGAGGCAGGAGGATCTTTGTGAGTAAGAGACCAGCAAGGGCTACAAAGTGAGCTCAAGTTCAGCCTAAATTGCATAGCGAGACCCCGTCTTAAAAGGAAAAAAACAAAAACAAAAACAAAAACCAACCCCAAAATCACCCTGCTTCTTTATCCCATAAATACAGTCACATCTTTGGTACCCCAGTGCTTTGAGACTTGTTGAATTTGGTACCTGAAGCACTCTGACATGAAAATGTTGTCTGGTTCTCGTCCTATGCTTGGTAATCTATGCAAAGCTAGGACTTGTGTCCATTGCCTTGTGACTCGCTCCCTTTTCAGCCCAAACAACTTGTTGGATACTCATTTTGGATACTTGTGACACTGCTGTGAACCAATTAACAACAGGTACCGAGTACCTGTGTATCCCTAAGCCTCATCCTTGGACAGGCTGATTTGAGGTTTGTTCTATTATCATGTGCTTGCTACCTCATGAATAAAAAAATTTTTTTGAGATAGCGTTTTGCTATGTAGTCCAGGATGGCCTCAAACTCTGGATGAGCCTCCTGCCTCCGCCTCTTGAGTGTTGGGATTATAGGCATATGTCACCATGCCTGGCTAATAAACTCTTTTGCAAAATTAGTTGTGAATAATTAAACAGGTCTAGTTTAGTAACATAATTGTACGTGTTGTTAAATTTTATACTTTGTTTTTAAAACTTCTATTTTTAAATTTCTTTGTTTTTTTCTTTTTTCTTTTTTTTTTTTTTGAGACAGGGTCTCGCTACCAGTGCAAGCTGGCCTTGAGCTCACCTTGTAGCCCAGGCTGGCCTCGAACTCACAATGATCCTCCTGCCTCAGCCTCCCGAATGCTGGGATTATAAAGTGTGCACCACCATACCCGGCCTTATTGTTAAATTTCATACTCTCTTGTTAAAGGTTTATTCTTGCATCCCAAAGGTTTGTTTTCAGATGAAAACATTCTGTTTTGATACAGTACTTTTTTTTGGGGGGGTTTTCTCCGGTACCAGGAACCGAACTCACGACCTTGCGCTTGCCAGGCAAGCGCTTTTGCCGCTGAGCTAAATCCCCAGCCCGATACAGTATTGTTTTTAACACTCAACTACTGTGCACTGGCCGAAATGTGTGCTACACTCTGCTTTGGGTACTGTGTTGGTTACTTTTCTCTCATTGCTGAGACAAAATACCGGACATTCAAAATTAAGGAAAGGTTTATTCAGCTCACAGTTTGTGGAGGTTTCAGTACACAATCAGCTGGCTCAAGGCAGAGTGGCATTTGGCAGAGAGAGAGTAGTTCACGGTGGCAGAAGACAGCAAAACAACAAGAGCAAAAGAGAGGGTCCCCGCCGCTGCAAGTCTCTTTTCCTCCCTTATATTGTAAGCAGTTTACCACCCCTAGGGTGGGTGTAGCACTCACAGTCTCCCTGCCCTCCTCTTGTACAGGCTCAGGATGTTTACAAACTGAGGACCCGGCCCCCTGCTCAGTCATTTCATTAAACTTGTAAACTTCTCAAGTTGGCACAGTGTATCAACCTTACAGGTGCTCAGACTAAGGAGAGTGGAAAAACATTCTCCCTGTCTTCAGTGTTTATCTTATGGAACCTGGCACAGTGATGCACACCTGTAATAGCAATTATTCAGCAGGCAGAGGCAGGAGGATTGCAAATTCAAGACCAATTTAGGTGGCTGAGCATGGTGGCACATACCTGTAATCCCACCACTCGGGAGGCTGATGCAGGAGGATTGCTGTGAATTGGAGCCTGGGCTACAAAGTGAGCTCAAGGCCAGCCTGAACTGCATAGTGAGACCCTGTCTCAAAAAGATCCAAAAAGACCAATTTAGGTAACTTAGTGAGACCCTGTCTCAAAATAAAATAAAAGGGCCAAGGATATAGCTCAGTGGCACAGCTCCTGCCTAGCAAGCCCAAGGTCCTGAGTTTGATTCCCAGTACCAAAAGAAAAAAAAAAAAAGTATGTGCTAGTCACGATAAAATAAAAAAGGGGCTGAGGTGTTGACAGGTGATAAAGTACTTGCATCATTTACAAGGTTCTGCATTCAATCCCCACAACCACATACACAGAAGTTTATCTAATGAGATATATGGTCAAGGTTAATATATATATGGTTAGAATACAATGGAAGCTGGGTGTGGCACACGCCTATACGAGGTTGAGGCATGAGAAATGCTGAAGAAAAGTTCCAGGCCAAAGTCAGGCGTGGTGTCACACCCCTGTAATCCCAGCATGCAGGAGGCTGAGGCAGGAAGATCGTTGTGAGTTGAGGCCATCCTGGACTACAACGTGAGCTTAAGGCCGGCCTGATCTGCACAGCGAGACCCTGTCTCAAAAAAAAAAAAAGAAAATTCGAGGCCAACCTGAGCTACATAGTGAGTTCAAGGTCAACCTGGACTACAGAGAAAGACCCTGGTTTAAAAACAAAAGAAAAAAGAAAAAAAGAATACAATGGAAAATAGGTGAGAGCATAGGTGAAATACGGGAGCCTGTCTGAGGAAGTCTGGACCTAGGGATTTCTATCTATTTATTTATTTTTGGTGCTGAGGAGTGAGGGGCCTAAACCTAGGGCCTTGATGGGTTCATGCCCCATCAGTGAGCAACACACTAAGCTCCAGCCTAGGATTTCTGGAGCACTCAGCAACTCTTTAGGTGTTAATCAGCCAGGAAGTGTTGAGCAGCGTTACTATGCAAAATGCTTCCTGGTGGAGAGCGTATCTATAGCAAACCCTAAAGGAAGAATTAAAACTGACCTTTAAAGGTTAAAGGTAATGCCAGGCATGCTACCACATGGCTGTAGGCCCAGCACTCAGGAGGCTGAGGCAGGAGGACTGCCATGAGTTCAAGGCTAGCTTGGACTACATAATGAGCTCAAGGCCAGCCTGAACAACATAGCGAGACCCTGTCTCAAAAAAGTAAATAATAAAAAATAAAGGTTAAAGGTAAAGAGACTAGGTGGGGAAGGTGAAGGGAAGAGAGGAAACGGGTTTCAGCTCAAAAGAACAGTACATACAAAGGTCCTGAGAGGCAAGCTGGAAGTACAGGAACAGCTATACTTACATATTTCAAAATATTGCAAAAACCTGCTGTGTAAGGAGCCTTTCAGAGCCCTCACCACCCATGACCCCCCTCTGCTGGAATTCACGTCCCGGCACAGTCCTGTCCAACACTGAATAGGGGTAACTTGCGGAATGGATGGGATATTGTAAAAACTATGGTGTACAACTTCTGAGGTTACACTGCCAAAGATGTTGTGACTTCTGTCTTGGTCTCTATCCGATTCCTTGCTCTGGGGGAAGCCAGCTGCCACACCACGCAGACACACCCAAGCACCCCTCGGGTAGGTTAGTGTGCAAGGGAACCTCGGTCACGTGCCAATAGCTGCAATGAGCCTTCTTGGAAGCATCCAAATCTAGATCCAGGGGACTGAACCCTGACTACATCCTTTTCAGAGACCCTGAGTCACAACTCCAACTCCCTTCCTAAGCAATCCTAGATTTCAGATGCATAGAAGCAATGTGATGACAAATGTGTATGGTGTTTGTTTTGGTTTTTGAAAAAGGGTCTTACTATATAGCCCAGGCTGGCCTTGAACTTTCGGGAGATCCTCCAGCCTCAGCCTTCAGAGTGAACCACCACCATGCCCAAGTGAATTTGAGGCTTAAAAGACCAAGCTTTATGAAAACACTGGTGGTTTCACTGGGGATGGCTTCTTAGTTTTAAGATTTATTTTGATCATAACAACATCAAAATAAGCCAGGGATGGTGGCACATGCCTGTAATCCCAGCAATCAGGAGACCGAGGCAGGAGGATTGCTGCAAGTTTGAGGCCAGCCTGGGTTACACAGTGAGTCAAAGTCAGCTTGCACTATGAAGTGAGGCCTTGTCTCAAAAAAAAAACCAAACAAACAAACAAAAAACTTTACTGTTAACTAACGTTCCTTACCTGCAGAGTTCATCAGAGAGGTGGTGGCTCATTTGCCTCAGATTTTCCAGTATGGGTGCTTAGTGATGGAATCAGTGGTTGTAACAATTCAAAAAATAAACTCCCTTATTAGGAGAAAAGTCTCTGCAGACTGAGCCTTACAGTTTTATGCACACAGGCATTGTAACATATATTTAAGAAGCTCCATGGATGGGCAAGATCCCCAACCTCATACAGTTTTTTTAAAAAAAGGGGTGGAGGCTGGGTGTGGTAGTGCACACCTGTAATCCCAGCACTCAGGAGGGTGAAGCAGGGGGGTCACTGCAAGTTTGAGGCCAGCTCGGGCTATATAAAGGCCAGCCTGAACTACATGGTGAGACCCTCTCTCAAAAAAAGAAAAATAAATAAACAAGGGGCAGACAGTAAACACATAAACCAAACAAATAACATTAGGCAATGTAAAGTGCTATGAAGAAAAATAAAGCAAGGTAGGGTAGAGAGCAGGGATTGAGTGTCTGCTATTTTATGTGTCTGTGTTTGCAGACAGGGTCTCACAGTGTAGTGCAAGCTGACCTTGAACTCACTTTGTAGCTCAGGCTGGCTTCCAACTCGGTGGTCCTCTTGCCTTAGCCTCCAGAATGCTGGGATTACAGGTGTGTACCATCATGCCTGGCTGTCTGCTATTTTTTGGAAAGCTGGTCAGAAAAAACCTTATCTGAAAAAGGGACATTTATGAGTTACCTCTTAGTCACTGTAGGCTTACAAATACATAAACCAAGAAGCCACCATTCCAAAATCTAGCCTGCATATAGACAAGTGTCCGTAGTTCTATATGGCTGCAGGCTCCTGAAGTAAATTTGGAAAGGCAGGAGTAATTAAATCAGAAAGTGCCTTGTGGGTCACAGAAACTAGTTTGGGCTTTAGCTGGAGGACAAAGATGGGAAATAACTGAAAGGTTTTAAACTGAGAAGTGACAGGTTCAACACAATCATCTTTGGTGGTGCACACCTGTAATCCCAGCACTCAGGAAGCTGAGGCACGGGATCAACAGGATTCCAGGTCAGCCTGGGCTACATAGAGTTCAAGGACAGCCTGAACTAAATAGCGATACATTGTCTCAAAAAAGAATTACAGAGCAGGGCGTGGTGACACATGCCTGTAATCCCAGCACTTGGGAGGCTGAGGCAGGAGGATTGCTGTGAGTTCGAGGCCAGCCTGGGCTACAAAGTGAATTCAAGGCCAGCCTGAACTGCAGAGCGAGACCCTGTGTCAAAAAAAAAAAAAAAAAAAAAAAAAAAAAAAAAAAAAAAAAAAGAAAAAGAAAAAGAAAATTATCTTAGAAGAACAATGTGAATGTAGGGCGATATCAACTCTGAAGACAGAGAAGATGATTACTTGTTGCAAATATCCAGACCTCTTCCCACCCTACCACTCCAAAAAGAAGAAAAGGAAGAAGTAATTCAGAAATCCAGACAATAATGCAAATGGGAAAGATTAAAGAGGCAAAAGGGGCTAAGAAAAAATTTAGATTCACAAGCTATTACTTATTAAGAGAATAAAAAGGCAAGACTTGGTGGTTGGGGTATAAAGAGACAACAGGAAGAAAAGCTGCCCTGTTCATTAAGAATGAGAAAAAGTTAAAGTGGATGAAAATGGATTCAAGACAGGCGTTGTGGCGCACGCCTGTAATCCCAGCACTCGGGAGGCTGAGGCAGGAGGATCCTTGAGAGTTCGAGGGCAGCCTGGGCTACAAAGGGAGCTCAAGGCCAGCCTGAACTGCAGAGGACACCCTGTCTCAAAAAGACAAAAACCAACCAAACAAAAAAAAAATACTGATGCTGAGCGGCCGGGGCAGAAGCAGAAAGACCAGCCAGGAGGCAGGTGCGCAAGTTCAGGCAAGAGACGGCAGCGCCCTGCAGCCTGAGGACACTGAAGATCTCTAGGTTTGGAAGTGGGAGGGGATGAAAGGAGGCACAATTAACACCTAGTATTCTGTCCTGAAACAAAACCAAAGCTGCTGCGCCGACTGAAACGGAGGACTTTTGGAGGAGCAGGTCTTTTCTTCTTCTTCTTCACTTTGCTTGGTTTTTGGCAGCAGGTCTGCGGGAAGACCGAGTCCGAGTCTACGCCTGGGAGGCTGTGATGTCCCTCAGGCGGCCGCGTGGAAACGCCCACCGGGCAGTTCGCGGACGCCTGGAGTCCAGGGAACAAGTCCGAGCAGGCAGCCGCAGCTCCCGTGGGCTTCCGGGCCTGCAGCGCGGTTAAGAACAACTTCTCTAGCGAACACTTCAGCTGCTTCCAAAAGCCGAGCAATTCGGGCTAGAATGCAAATTTCACTTTCACCACACAGCTCAACTACTTTAGAGTCGATCCCGATAACTGATACAAAACTCTTAAAACCCGCACAATCCCAGCTTTTAGAATGCCAGCAGGGCCCGCAGGGTTCTCGCTAATTCAAGGGCCACCCCACCAGCGTCATACTGAGGTAGCAGCTTTTCTCTTCCGTCGTTCGATGAAACCCTAAAAGCAGAAGGCCTCCCCAGCTACGGGTCGAAAGACGGGTCACATTACTTTGCGCGTACAAGGCTGGTCACGCGCCACAAAAGGGTTCCCGGGGGCGGGAGGAAACCATACGACTCTCTCTCCTTCTCCCATTGGCAGAGGTCGCCGGGCTCGACTACCCTATTGGCTTCTGGGGAGGCTCTGGACGGGCAGAAGCCCGCCCCCCTTGACTCAAGAGCGCACGCGTGGCGCGCGCTGGGCACACTGAGCAGGCGCGGCCTCGTGTTGGCTGCGAGGGGCGGGTACAGCGGCGCACGCTGCGTCCCGGCGCTCCGCTGCCCTCCGCCGGTCCCGCCCTCCGTCGCGGCAGCGCGGTGCAGCCTGGGATAGGGAGCGATCTCCGAGCGAGGCAGCAAGATGGACGCGGGATTCTTCCGCGTAAGTAGAAGCGCGGGGATCTGGGGTAAGGTGAGAGGCTTCTCGGTAACGCCAGGTAAGAAGCCTAAAGTCGGAACAGGATGGCCCGCGAAGGGAGGCCTCGGCGAGCTGAAGGGCCCCGAGGCCGGCGACGCTCTCCCCTGCTCTGCGGAGAAGACCGGTGCGCCCCTGCGCAGTCTCCTCCTCCGGGATCGTCCCCCCTACGCGGCGGCGGCGGCCGGAAAATGGCGGCGGGAATGGGCCGGAGCGTTACCTCGCTGCCCGCCTGGCCCGGCCTGTAGTTCGAGCGCCGCGCCTTCCGCGGGGTCCTGGGGCCTAGTCGAGCCCGGAGGAGGAAGTCTCTGGGGGGAGGACGGGGGGAAGCCCGAGGTGACCGGCGGCGGGCGGCGGGCCCGGGGAGTAGCGTTTGGGGTACATCCTGGGCGAGCGCCTTTAGGCGAGGGGCGCGGGCCGAGGGCTTTTTAGCGGCTTCTCCTGAGAGAGCGGGGGCCCCCTCCCACGTCCTTCCTCCTGCTGTTGGGCCTGAGCAGAGGCGCGGGGTCAGAGTTCGCGAGAGCTCCCGCCCAATTTGATATCCCTTCGGGCAGGGGAGCGCGGGTCAATCGGAGTTGAAAACGTCTGCCCGGGAGGCTGAGGGCAGAGGGTGCAGGGACAAGAAGACGTGCGTGTGGAGGCAGGTTACGGGGTGAACCAACTCTTTCCCGCCCTTCCCTACCCTCCCCCACGCGTACTCCGGGAGTCCACTGGCGACGAGGGTGCTCTTGCCTGGGCTCCGCGGCTGGGGAAGGTCCCTTGCCGTAGTTGGACCTAGGGGTCCACATTTTATCGCTTACCACGCTGGTCCTGGAACCTGTGTCCCACTCCTGCTGGAAATGAACTCCAGGTCAAGATTTAGATGAGTGAGAAGGAACGTTTACAGAACTGAAGTTGAGTACTAATGATCGCTTCAGAGTTTCCAAATGCTCTTAGGGCTAAATAGAACCGTCTAGAGGCCACTTGGACTAACCAGAATCTCCACTTCGTGTAATTCAGGTGGACTTTTTCCACTCCCTGGAAAATGTGTTCATTTTGTGAAACTTCCAAAAGCAAGCTTCCTCTTAACGTTTACTTATCACCTGGGTCTCCTTTCCACTGGAAATAGTAAAGAAAAAAACACTCTTTTTGTGGTTTTTCTTTTTTTTTTTTTTTTTTTTTTGAGGTCTTTTTCTGCTATGTAGTCCAGGCTGCCCTCGAACTCATGGTGATTCCCCAGCACCTTTAAAAAGATAATGTTCTTATGAGCTTCTAACCCACTTTCCATCTCTTTCTGTCTTAATTTTTTTTTTTTTTTTTTTTTTTTTGAGGGAGGTGGTTTTGGGTTTTTTCAGACAGGGGCTCATTGTGTGTGTAGTACAGGGTGACCTTAAACTCGATTTTGTAGCCCAGGCTGGTTTCAAACTCACATCGATCCTCGTGCCTCAGCCTCTTGAGTGCTGGGATTGCCGTCTTGGCCCACCACGCCTGACTGTTTCCTGTTTTTTTGGTTGTGTTTTTTGGCGGGGGGCGGGTACCGAGAATCGAACTCATGACCTCAGGCTTGCCAGGCAAGCGCGTATGCAGCTGAGCTATATCCCCGGCCCCCGTTTTCTGTTTTTTAAAGAAAATTGTGGAAGAGAGAAAGGCTAGGGTTTTAATAAAGAAATCTTTGACACTCCAATGCTGGCATTGAAGGGTTTTTGGGCGCGCGCGCGTGTGTGTGTGTGTGTGTGTGTGTTTGGTTTTTTGAGACATGGTCTCATCATGTAGTTCAGACTGGCTTTCAATTCATTGTACAGCCCAGACTGCTCAAACTCAGTGATTCTCCTGCCTCAGCCTTCCAAGTGCTGGTACTGCAGGGATGGGCCACTGCACCTGGCCTTAAGTTCTTTAAATGGCTTTAAATATGCCAATAGTTTCCCATCAGAAGTTGTGATGTTATTCCAAGCTTTTGACCTAGCCGGGCGTGGTGGCGAACGCCTGTAATCCCAGCACTTGGGAGGCTGAGGCAGGAGGATCTTTGTGAGTTCTAGACCAGGCTGGGTCACAAAGTGAGCTCAAGGCCAGCCTGAACTGCATAGTGAGACCCTATCTCAAAAAGACAAACAAACAAAAAACCAAGCTTTTGACCTATAAGGTTTAAGTTATTTGACTATTCTTAGGTCCTGAAAACAGTAAGATGGTTATTTACAGAGTAATAGTTTGTATTTTTTTTTTTCCTTTTTTTCCCCGTTTCCGGGAATCGAACTCATGACCTTGCGCTTGCCAGGCAGGCGATGTGCCGCTGAGCTAAATCCCCAGCCCCTGCAGAGTAATAATTTGAAATGAACATATTTTCACACTGTGGTTGGAACTGTTCTTTTGTAATTTGTATGGAAACATTTTACAGTAGATACTCATTTTTCTCCTGTGGTGAAAAAGTAATATCTTAAAGATGTAAAAAATTTTTTTTGTTGTTTCGGTCTTTTTAGGTTATTTTTTTTTATTTTTTTGTTTTGGGTTCCAGGGATTGAACTCAGAACCTTGCGCTTGCCAGGCAGGCTTTTATGCCAGTGAGGAATATCCCCAGCTTTTTTTTTTTTGTCTTTTTGAAACAGGGTTTCGCTGTGCAGTTCAGGCTGATCTTGAGCTCACTTTGTAGCCCAGGCTGACCTTGAACTCTCAAGGATCCTCCTGCCTCAGCCTCCCAAGTGCTGGGATTACAGGCGTGTGCCACCACGCCCGGCTCTTTTGAATGTTTTTTTCTTTACTGTTTCCAGTGGAAAGGAGACCCACGTGATAAGTAAATGTTAAGATGAAGCTTGCTTTTGGAAGTTTCGTGTACTGCCTGTATTTGTTTGTTTATTTATTTTGGGGTTTTTAGTGTGTGTGTGTCTTTTTGAGACAGGGTCTTACTATGCAGTTCAGGCTGGCCTTCAGCTCACTTTGTAGCCTAGGCTTGTCTTGAACTCAGTGATCCTCCTGCCTCAGCCTCCTGAGTGCTGGGATTACAGGCATCTACCACCATGCTCGGCTTTTATTTTTTTATTTATTTAATTTTCTTTTGGTACTGGGAATGGAATGCAGTACCTTGTGCTTGCCAAGCAGGTGCTTGTGCTGCTGGGCTAGATCCTTAGCCCTTAATTTGGTTTTTGAGACAAGGTCTCAATATATATTCCAGGCTGGCTTTGAATTCACTGTATAACTCACAATGCCCTTATAAAAAAGGAATTAATTGGATTAAATTCTCTGAGTTAAAAGATTTTAGAGCTGTTATCTAATACACTGCCAATCAAATTATAAACAATTATTTCAGATTAGAACTAAAGTTTTCCAACTGATACCTATAGTCCCAGCACTTGGGAGGCTGAGGCAGGAAGATCACTGTACATACTGAGTTTAAGGACACCCTGGACTGCATAGTGAGACCCTGTCTCAAAAAAAAAATTTTTTTTATTTTCTGAACCACTGCCACATTTCAAATATTTGACATTTCATTTCTGATGTATGCAGCCCTGCAGGATAGATTTTATTATCCTATTTTAATTTTTAAGTGACATAGTAATTTGTACATATTTATGGCATACAGTGTGACATTTCAACGTGTATTCAAAGTAATAATCAGATCAGTGTAATTGGCATGTGTCACAATCATTTGTTTCATTATCCTTATTTTATCTTTTGTTTTTTCTTTTCTTTTTTTTTTCCCCTACTGGGAATGGAACTCATGACCTCAAGCTTGCCAGGCAAGTGCTTATGCGGCTGAACTGTATTCCCGGCTCTCTTTTGTTTTTGTTTCCTTTTTTATTACCCCTATTTTAGCAAGTAAGGAAATACCTTCAGAAAAGTTAGACAAATTGCTCTGAAAACCTAAGGCTAAATTGTAGAGTGGAAGCTCTTGTCCAGGTTCTTCACCTTTCTAAACCAAATTTTATTGATCCCTTCCAAAGGACTGGCCAACTTAGTGAACCAATCAGTAGATTTCAGATCACACAGTCAGTTATGTATTTCTGTGTTTAATGGGGTCAGTAGAAATGATAAAACAAAAATTAGTGATGACTTGAAGGTCTAATTGTGTGTG